CTAAAATCGGCAATGATTTTAATAACAGAAATAATTTGATGTTATCTACGCCAATAGTTCTGTGGAGACCGCGACACTTAAAATGGTTGAACAAATAAATTCCACACACACACACACACACCCACACGCCCGAGTAAATAGGCTGCGCTGCTGAGCGATTTATGGGGCACGTGCGGTCTTGAGCGCAGAGACCCTTCAACAAACTAAAAATCAATGATCGCTGTGAGGCCAGCTCAGTCAAAATTGTACTTTAATGGCTAAGCTCTGCACCAGGGACAAACACCAGTATAACAAACATAATTTTATACCAGGGTACTTAGTCACAGAGAGATTGCTGAGGCATAGAGAAGACTTGTGTGTGAAGTTTGAAACCAAAATAAATCCATTGTAATAAGACTGAATAGTATAGTTAACTTAAGGTCTTCATATACATTCATTCCATTCTCATCTATTGAAGTGCTTCTTCATATGTCGAGCTCGTGTTGAGTTCTACTAAGAACTAACCAGATCCAGATCTTAATGTATTACTGTTGTGCTCAAATTCACTAAGGAGGCAGGTTCTAAACGATCTCATAATTTCCTATTAAAACTATATCTAATGAAATATCTTGATATCAATAAGAGTTAATGGTTTCTTTTTAAACAAATATTCTAACTTCCGTAAAAGGTTAAAATCAATAATTAATATCTCAGTGAAGGTGGATCGAAGATTATGGGATGATCTCACACGAACCGATAAATCGTTGCAGATTTTCATGTCTATCTTGAATGTAATAAATACTTGAATTTTGTCTCAAGAGATGCTGAAAAGAAGTGAATACTTAATCTAAACCAGCTGAAATTGGTAGACTTTATCAGTGCCTGCAAACTCATTAACTTTTTTACCTGTAATGAAGGAACGGGATAGGTGAGATTTGACCCTGTTCTATTCAACTTCTTGGCCATAACCAACCAACGAGCGGCAGAATTTGGAGCCATAGGTGAGGTTGGAAGTTGTAAAGCACACCCAGCACATTCCAAGAGCAAGCTTTGTTTCAAGGAGCCTTCTAGTTCAAATGAAACGACCGGGGTGTATGAGGATCGCCTATCACGTCGACGCCTCCCCCCAGCTCTGTTTTGAAGTCGTTTTTCCCGTCTTTCTCTTCTAAAATTTACCCAAAATTCACTTTCAGACATTGGTTTTGGAATACAGTCAAATATCTAGTGTTTAGTGTGGCTTGCCTTCTCTCAGTCTTGGATGCTTCCGATGTAACCCCGAGCTGATGTGGTTTGATTGCAGCAGCCGAGTCCGTTGGTTGATCCGCCTGAGGTATGATCTCACTAAGAGGCAGTTTTTTGAGATCGAAATCACGATCCAAACGTCTGGCCTGACTCATCAAGAGCAAGCGATCATCATTGGTATCCACAAAACCGGGAGAAGGGATGAAGTCATTGTTGAGCTTGATTTGATTCCCTGGTGTAGGAAACGGTGGTTGCGGTAAAAGCTGCTCAGATATTCGATCTAAGCTGACCAGAAGGCTGGAAGCATTTCCGTATGTCGTCACTCCGGATATCTGGCTTTTTACGACTAAAATTGACACATGAGCAGATGAATGCATAATTCCCACAGAGAAACCTTCAATTGGGCTATTTTGTCATTAGTGTTTAGGCACATATGTTTTATTGTCATAACTCATGCATTTCGCTTATTTAGCGACAGTCAAAGTAAACATTTTAGTGCACTGAAAATGAATTATTGTTAAGGATCAGTCCTGAAGGTAACAATAAATCTATGTAAACGAGCGGAGACAGAGTATGGCATATTTGGGCGGAAAAAAAGCAGAAGGCTATTTGCCATAGTAGGAAAGCGCAATTTTCATGTTCCGCAGAAGAAAAAGGCAGACATGTCCCAACCCTTATTCAGAGTGCATACGATGGTGGTTCTTCTTTTTGTATTTCTTATTTCCGTTTTTTTGCTTTCGCTACACTATTGTAATTCAACCTCCGGAGTTGGTAGAGAGGGGCTTAAATATGACTTCGCTTTCTACTTCCCACACCTCACTAGGATAAGCCATCAAAATATGAATCCCCAGATCAGACGGTAAATTATTGACCATACCAGAACCCGATGATATGATTTAGCGTATTTACCAGGAAATTAGGAACGAAATATATTGTAGTTTGATTGAAGCCTAACTCTTTTGCATCATTCAGCTGGCAATAATTTATAACTTCAAACGATATGAGCAATATACAGTGGAATAGTGGTGACTATAGCAATACCAGATGCATGCCTAGTGGTCTATATGACTTCTTTAAGGATTTAGCATTTGGCAGTTTCTTCATTTATACAGGTGGATTCCATGTTTTTTGTTGTGCCCTTATAGTTTTTTTTTGTAAATTCTCCCTATTAAATCATCCCATTTCCGGAAACTTTACCTGAATGATTCATCCCGTTTTGCTCGGTTCACGTCTGTTAGTGGAGGTGAGTGAATACATTCGTGTTTTTCATAATCGGTTAGTATTGAACAGCTTAGGTTCAAATAATTTCAAGTATCCATTTCTTGCCCTCACCATTGGTTGGATAACTTGCGTTAATACTTACATTCACCACAATCGACAACTCAACTCTGGCTGTTGCAATACCTACCTTAACTCAGCTGTTGAATGACTTTTTGCATCAAAATCGAAGTGCACATACGCAAAGGCACGTCCAATACAATTTATCGTTTCCTGGGTTCTCACCTTGTATCTATTGGTCTCTCTAACTGATCATCTTACCATGATATCTGAGAACATAGATAATCAAATTTCAAGCTATCATATCTCACTTTATTCAAAAATGCAGAAGTCATTTACAACCAGTGTTGGATGGAGATGTAATTTTTAACGTCTCGTTTTTTCCTGTTTTATTTTTCCCGATGTCATTTTCCATTAGAAGCACTTTTCGTCTATAATGCATGCATGTGAAATCGTCAAACGCGACACTGGTGGTAAATGCGAACGCTTAGTCGGGACTATTGAACATTCAAATTCAAAGAAGACCGCTGTCAGTCAATTTTTGTGGGCCTTTCCTCGATGGAGCAAACAGGAGAGACATTAATGGGGCCTGTGAGTTATCTATTAAATTCATTTCACACTTCAAATGTTGCCGACGGCAAATGAAAGGCCTCGGTGCTGACAGTCTGTCTTAGACAGCGTCAGTTGTTTTCTCTCCTATCGAAATGCGTCTGTGTTTTTGACCGAATCTTTTGTTTTGATATGTAATAGCGAGCGGGATTTTATTCACCTTCATCTCTTTCGCATGGCGAATTCTAAGAATGAATTCCTAGCTTTGATTGCTTAGTATTTTCCTTACCTATCACATCTAATCCTGCCATTTGCTATTTCCATAATGAAAACGCTATTCTTAGGCATGTTTCCTCAGTAACAAAAAACCACTTTACAAAACTGCTTACCAACAATGGCTCATTCATTTAGTTTGTGCCTAGAGGATTTTCTCTATTTTTTTCGAAAAATATCATTATCATCACCATGTCCATTGTTATATTTTCCTGTATTTTCTACCTATTAAGCTATTCAAACTGCTGTTGGCTAATATTCGAGAGGGTTTCAGGAAAACCCTTTTGATTAGGCAACTCGATTAATTATTGTGGCAGCTAGACATCTCTGAACGCTGCTACGTTTGGGTGCAACAGTGAACAAATAGGATATTGTAATTTCAATTAATTGCCACTAGATTGGTAGCATTAATTCAGAGAAGTGCGAACGAACCAATAGGATAATGTGAATTCAACTTCTAAAATTGTTGAAATAAATAACTCAATATGATTAAAAAATAGTAAAATGTTTCACATAAATGGATATTGAACTTTGTTTAAGTAGAGAGAGAGAAAGTACTGAAGTATAGTTTGGACATGGGTTGGAAAATTTCATAAGAGGAGTTGGATGTTAGACCAGTTAGACAAATATGGTCAATATGTGGAAGTGCTATTCTCTCGAACTATTTGACATTTCTTATGCGTCTATATTCATTCGGACATCTTCGCAACCTTTTCAACCTCCACTGCTATCCAAATATTTAAAAGAGTTCGTCTAATCTCTGTGAATATTATTAGATTAAGAACTACATTAAAGTGAGCTATAAAACGAACAATAGAACTGCATCTTATTAAAAACCCGGTAATTAGATGCTTTGAGGTCGTGTGCAAGTTATGCAGGTCCAGTCGATGGAGCAAGAATCGGAGTGCAGCTTGTCTCGAAAGTGAGCGAATTTCCAAGAAGGTAAAGGCAGACCAAAATAAATGGTTGCCATATAATTTGCTTTCGGCCCGACCTTCTAATTTCTCGCCCCCCCCCCCCCCCCCGCCTCTCCCTCCAATTAGCGTCAAGTGGTACACAGTAAAGGTAGACTTTGATCAAATTATCAATTCGAGGCCATCTTGCATGAATACTTACCGACATCTGCCTTGCAATATTGCTTAATAATTTTCTCTCGCGTTGGTTCCTGAGAACACGGAGTGCAGGTAACTAAAGTGCAACAAAAAAGAATACAAATAGATAAAATTTGAGCAAAAAAATTAATTTTGGGAAAAAATTTCTGACTGGTGAAATTGTATGTCTAGCTTTCATTTGAGAGCATTTTGACTTAAAGAGTCAAACCAGTTGACAGAATTAATCTTGAAGAAGTATATTTTAAGTAGACTTTTAAAAGGTTAAATTGCAATTTTTGCTTAGCATTAGCCTATCATAACTGATATTTAAGCGAAACCTCGGTGCTCAATAAAACAAAATTATTTTCAAAAACTCAACAATTTCTTCACCACAGAAAGAAGGAAAATGCAATCATTTTAATTAATGAGGAAATTCGATCTAAACGTATTGCTTCGTATCAAGTTATTGAAGCTTAAAAATTAGATTTGAAGGTACAAGTTTATTTCCTGGAACCTTCTAGAATAAATATCAAATTTGAAATAAAATAGTTTGGATTTTAAATTGTCTCAATTATTGATTTGGTTGTCATATTTTCATGTAATCAATTTCTGAAAGGTTCAAATGAAATTTGAAAAATGTTTTAAGTGAAATGTATTAGCATTCTTTGACAATATTTTCCCTGTGATTTTGCACTTGAATTTGTGATCTAACTGGATTCGGCAAATGAAAATGCCCTTCGTAAGATCTTGATTTTAAGTGAAGGCATTTGAGCAAAAATATCAATTTTATAAAACTGTTCAATTATACTAAAATAAAAATAAAAATAATAAAATATAAAAATAAGCCTAATTAACTTTTGGTTACATATAGTTTTGTTGAACCAAAATGATTACTTAATGGACATTCCATTCCACTTCGAATTCGTAATTGCCTTTTGATATAAAGCCAATAATTTTCAATTTCAAATGTTATTTCAAGAACCTTTAAATAATAGTGAGCATTCTGCAGGGCGAGTTTGGCTTTTCGTAGTTTTATCTCAAATTAATACAAAGTTCTAATATTTAACTCGTCTGACTCACTGAAACATTTGACGCCTTGAGACGTTTAGTTATTGCAATGCTGAAATTTTACTTAATGGCTACAGCCAGCAGTGGGTGAGGGGGGGGAGGCTTTGACTAGATTTTGACAACCCCCTAAGCGTGTGAAAAACGCATAACTTCGCTTTTTGTTTTCTTGACATAAATGACCATTTCCAACACTTTATTTAGGTGAACGGGGTGATATGGCAAAAGATAATTTGATAACTAAGCAAGCGGATATAAATTTCATCGTCAATTTAAGTAAGGTTTACGCTCGAGCTATTTTAAGGGAATTATCATGATTTTGAAGCAAAATCACATATTTAAATTTGAATTATTTGAATTTATTTGTTAAGCTGGATGAAAACTAGGCATTTAACTGAGTCGCCTTATTTACGACAACAAGGTGTTATTTAAATAAAGATGCAAAATGAAGTTTTAAAGGGAATCCCCTGTATTGGCACTCATACACCGCAAACATTTTACCCGCTAGGCTTATCTAAATTAAATTACAGCTTGGAGAAGTAAACCTCAAAACTCTCCAATATCATTGAATAAAAATTTCTAGTTCCCAATAATTTTTGCCACCACTGAGCGCAGTTTCGCCGCTATGACAAAAAAACCGGTCAAGATACTGAGATTTTGACATTCATGTAAGTTGGGTGTAGATTATTTCAATTTAGAAAAAATAATTCAAATTTACAACTTACCGGATTCACGTTTAGAGCTGATGCACATACTGGTTTCTTCGCTAGGGAAGCGGTCACAATCGACCTGTTGAGGCCACTTAAATCCAAAGAGGTGCATTCTCGAAATACAGGAATTTCGCACCTCGTAGCAGAATTCGCGGCAGGGCAGAATGGGCATAACTTGGTGGGAGTGCAAGCACACGGGATTGTAAACAGTACAGACAAACTTCATTGTCTGGGGATGGCATCTGGAGCTGAGAAGAGCAATCCAAATATTCGCCTCCTGAACTGAATCCGAGGAGGCAGCCGCGTGGGAACAGTAAGTCATATCGCGAGGAAGGGCTGGGCATCGCCAGAGGGATCCAGGATTTTGTCGTCGATGTCCAACTGTGCTTAGCAGCCACTTAGAAAGGAAGGCTGCGCCTTGGCATCTATCTGCGATAAGCAGAAGTTGGAAGAGTATGGAAGATATCAATATTAGATATAGTTTATGCATTCTCTTTGGGTATATTCAACTAAGTATATTCCATTTTATTGTAAAAAGCATTGCACGTGCAAGTATCTGATAGATAACTCATGCATTGAAGGTGGAAATGTGCGGCCAAGACGATAGTATTTGGTTTTACAGTAAACCAATCAGATTGCAGGTTGTAACACCACTGACCAATCATGACTCTGCAGTGCTTCCAATGTGTGCACTGGATGTCTAAGCACTTGACATTTAGTCAATTCACGGATTTAAGATATGAAAATTTGAAATAAAATATTAAATATTAATGAATAAGCGTTGAGGAAACAGATTATATTTTGCTTTATGACAGAATTTAAGTAGCTTAGAGGCAAATTTTTACCCAAAAGGTGTTATTCAACTAAGATAGAAAAAAGAAAAAAACTTACTCAAACATGACTAAAATGTTAATTATCTGTAACTTTAAATAAATATAATCCAAAATTTGCTAGTCATAATAATAAACTAAGTTATAATTTCCACTGACTGTGTGGTTCTCCATAAATCGGTGAATGTCATCTTTTAATAAGCTACAACTAAATATTTATTACAACAAATTAAAAATTCTACAATTTACTAGCGGTTTTATGAGCACCATAGGAAAAGGTAGTCGCTTCTAATGACAATAATTTGTGATGGAAAAGTGGAAGGTTGAAAAAGAAACGGCACTCTCAATGCCTTTCTGATATAGAGCAAAGAATCAAAAAGTAGTTGAAAATGTAGTCCCTCTTTGCTTCCAATATTCTCGGTTTTATAAATCCTTTTAGTGCGAGTAACATCAGCCATTTCAGTAGGCAAAGGTTGCTTACTTTGGTGGCCTCCTAAATGACAACAAAGCGACGCTGAAAAGTATTATCAGATCGATACTCCAAGTAAGGGACTTCGAGGTATTTATACTCGTTCTCATTTTGTAGTATTTAGATTAATTTATATTCATTAGAATGGTTAGAATCTTGTCAATGACTGGGTAAAATAAATCGTACTTAATTTAATGTGAATTTGCAACTTGGTTACTAGAAAAGATTAATATAGATGACTTAATAAAGATGGAGAAATTGTCTCTATTTAGCAATGAACATAAATTTTAATATTATCATTGCGTATAGCATAACTAAACTTCCACTAATTTTAATCACGGGAATCGGAAACGAGTTTGATGGGGTATGACAGCTGCCTTATGATCACCAGTTTGATGGGAAGAACTATTTGGTGAAAGCCATTATTTTTCCAGAAGAGCTTATGCTCACAGGCTCGTCAGTTTGTTGCTGTAACAGTGGATAAAGTGCGAGAATCCTCCCTTAATTCTCCTCCACTCTCCCCTTCTTCAACCCCTATCCCCTCAAGATATGGTGTTCCTGTTAGCAACCACCATTCTGGTCAACAACATTTAGCACCACACAAGTCGAGTTACGAGGTCAACAATGGACGACCCATCACTAAAAAAAAAATTGGAATCTAAGTTAGTATAACTTTAAATTCCTGCCATACGACTCCCAGAAAATATTCTCACTGTCTTTAGTTCTCGTTGCATAACTAATTTATTACCCTGGTTTGGCATGACTATCAAAATTTATTTTGATACTACTAGCAAGAATTACTACACCTCAATCAAGGCGAAGAATCATATGCATTTGATAGTGCTATGTCATTCAGTTAATTGAATGGTCTTCTATAGATCAGTATTTTAGCATACAATAAACGTTAGTTGTTGTAGATTGAAAGCCTAATTTTCTTGAGATAACAACTACAAATAAATAATTTTAGACCGATAATTACAGTTAATACAGAATTTAAATTCAATCTTAAACTGGTAATTAATGGTTTATTTATTTATATCAAGTGGCAGGTTTTGTGTTAGCTGACGTTAATCCTTTAGTTGAATTCGGGCTTCACAGAGAGGAGGTGGAACGTCAAAATTGTCAAAAAAAGTCGAGAGGAGGAACGAAATAGTGATTGGCAGATGTAAAAGAGACAGACAGACATAGAAGTAGAAAAAATGGTGGGGTGAGGTGAGTACTTTGGAAGTGGTGGAATTCGACATGGAGTGGGGTTATGGTAGTTCGAAGTCAGAAGTCAACTTGGGGTTTATAGATTCTTTGCCGTATGAACATACTTTACCCAGGGTGCTCCACGTGGAGGTAAGTCTATTACGCACACCGTGGTAGGTGATAAGACAACGACAAGAGTCATTAAATATTGGATTGATAAACATTATCATTTCACTACCAAATCTCATTCTCGCACCTGTTTCCAGCATGGGGGGGGGGGGTGCATAAATAGCAGTTCATTAGCTGTCTTCTTGCTTCCCAGTATCTCTGGCTTTCCGTCGTTGTCTTTAGGGCTGGACATCGAATAAAGTGGGTCTTCTCCATTTCCTCCTGTAGGTTACATGGTGGTGGGTCTTCTCCGTTTCCTCCTGTAGGTCACATAGACAGGTGGGACTTCTCCATTTCCTCCTGTAGGTTACATAGAGTATGTGGGTTGAGTGTATACTCTCAATCTGTGAAGGTGTTTTGATTGTATACTCCTAATCTGTGAAGGTGCTTCGCCAGATTTCCTCCTGTAGGTTACATAGAGGGCATGTGGGTTGATCATACTCCCAATCTGTGAAGGTGTTTTGCCAGGCAATCGTGACCGGTACGAAGTCTAAACTCAGCAACGGCTTCGATTCTTAGCCAGTCGGCTATTTCGGAGAGTGCCACTGTCCACTATTTCTCCTTTGTTCGAGAGTTAAGTTCGTTACATCGGATAAATGGAGAGAAGACAAGGCAACTTCGAGCAGAATTTATTATCAGAAATTGTGGAATTACGGTGGGGGAGAGAGTACATACAGTGGATGCGATTACAGCAGACTTACCCCTCGGAGCTCATGTGTGAAAAGTTATCGATTTGGAGACATGCTCACGATATCACGCCTGTTGAGACTAGTAACTTAAAGTGACATTTGCAATATAAAGTTAATTAACGAAATTTAAGGATGTAGTGAAGAAAAAGAAACGATTTTCGAAAGTTTGTCAATGAGGCCATTAGCGGTTTTCTAGATCAACAGAGAATAAGTATTTTGAGAAATTCAAATAGAACTCGGTTTTGTGTTCTTGTTGTGTACAAGATTTGTTAAAAAAAGAAAAAAACGCAAGAAAGGGGGGGGGGAGGATCGTGAAGAGATAGCCCAGATTGGAGTTAAGCCAACCCACCTACAAAGATTTGAACGCGATCTCGCCCATTGATTTGGATATCAGTTTATGAACTAAGAATATCAGTGCCTAGTACATTGAACTATGCACCGTCTATAGGAACTTTGCAGAAAACAATGATGGTAAGATTCAACTAAAACAAGATTATTGATATATTTCCAAGTTCATTTTCCACTTCTCGCAGGCCTCTCTCTTCAAGCACCTATCTCTTCAGAAACCATTCGAAATTTCCGTCACTTGGATTGCTTTGCATGACTAGGCTTTGCATTCTTTTTTGCAATGCCATGGGTGTTAGCATTATTAATAAATTGCTTGTTTTTTTTGCTATACTTAGGTATTAAGGCTTTGTTAAAAAATTAAATAGGGAGCGCAAATCGATATCCTAGTCGATCTCAGATTCCTCCATTCTTCATTACCTACCAGGGAATTACAAAGGCATCTCTCGAGCAATCCGAGTAAGCGTTCTATTCATTCCAGAGGTAGGAAAATCGAGTGATACGCCGCTTACACAAATTACAAATGCAGGCATTTGGTACCCTCTTTCATACACCTTACCAGATGTTAAATAAGAGCATCATTAATCATTCCGCGCATAATTGTTGTAGTGTATTAAACGAATTGCATATATATATATATATATATATATATATATATATGCAAACATTTTGTAATAAAAATAATTTTCTCAAAATGTTGCTTTGCTTGTTAATTGGTTCCAATTTGCTGACAGCTAAAAATACATGTCTACATTGGGGATAAAAAATTACCGAAATCATTTTTTGGCCAGAAGGGGCTTATTTATTTACACCACGAAATCTGACGCCCCTAAAATACTGGCATAATAGCAATTAACGGTGGTCAATATTAGTCAAGGAAACAAATGAATGCAATCCTAGGAAAATCGTCAGCATTAGCGAAAAAAATTAGAAAACATTAATAAACAAACGAATTACTCGATCCAGTAGTAATTTAGTATTGCAATCAGATCAACTTTTTAATTTCTGTCAAATAAGCCTTTCTTTTGTTCATCTTCCTCGCGTCTATACTGAACTATACTGAACTAAATCGTATTCAGAACTTTTCCTCCACAGATTTTGACCTTTTCCTTTTGGCTTTTAATCAGATTAGAAAGAATGTCTGATTATATCGTTATCTTGATCTATGTTCCCCCAAATTTCTGCAGAAAGTGGAAATTGGAAAAAATCAAGAAATACGAGGAATGGACCTTAGTCCAATTACATGGGATGCCTATATTTAGGCTTTAAGTGAGTTGAAAATTTTATTTATTATTGGGATAACTCCAATAGGTCCATCAGAAAGAATATTATCGACACATGACTTAGGGTAGTGAATCATAGTTATATTAGAATAAAGTGGGGTGTGCGATGGACTTACCTCCACGTGGTGCAACCTGGGCAACGTATACTCATACGGCAAAAAGTATATAAACCGGCAGTTGACTTCTGACTTCAAACTACCATCACCCCACTGTATGTCATATTCGACAACTTCCACAGTACTCACCTCATCTTTTTTCTACCTTTTCTACCTTCGTCTTTGAAATACTCTTCTGTTCTCCCACCTCCCCCCTCTCGGCTTTTTTCACTTTGATGTTCCTTCCCCTATGTGAAGCCTGAAGTCAACTAAAGGGCAAATGATAACCATCAAAACGTCTGCCATTTGTTATAAATACTAGAATAAAGCAATCAATGCCTTAAAAGTACTTTCACTCCTTGAGAATTTGTTCCACTAAAGCCACTCACTTAATTTCAGTCGAATTAATATGAAAAATAC